TCGAAGCAATTGGGGATTTTTGTCTCCTCTACGCATCAGTAAGAAAATATAAATAAATATAAATAAATATAAATAAATATAAATAAATATAAATAAATAAATAAATAAAATTTATATGTAAACATATATTTATATATCTATTTATGTATTTGTTTATGTATTTATTTATGTATTTATTTATGTATTCATTTACATATTTATTTATATGTTTATTTATATATTTGTTTATATATTTATTTATATTCATTTATTTATATTTATATATTTCCACAGGCATGGCTGAGCTGCAAAAAAATTTTTTTTTAAATTTTTTGTGTATTCATTAATATATTTATCTATTTATTTATTTATATACATATTTATATGTTTATTTATTTATTTATATTTATTTATATTTATTTATTTATATTTATACATTTGTACAGGCATGGCTGAGCTGCAAGGATTTTTTTTGTTTTGCCGCGAAGACAGCGCGCAGGCGCTGGAGATGGCCCGGGCCTGGCGAGAGGCAGACCAGCAGGTGCTGCAGGAGATACAGCTCAAGCAGCAGCAAAAACATATGCTGCAGCAGCAGCAGCAGCAGCAGCAGCAGCAGCAGCAGCAGAAGGGTGTGAACCAGCAGCAGCAGCAGCAGCAGCAGCAGCAGCAGCAGGAGGAACAGAAAAGGACAACAGAGACATCCTGATTGTCTACAACACCCCACTTGAAAAAAAAAAGAAAAACCTGCGTATCTAGCCTAGCTAGCTGGCTAGCTAGCTAGCTAGCTAGCTGGTGTCTAGCTGCATGGCTAGCTAGCTAGTTCAGTAGCTAGCTAGCTGCCTAGCTAGCTAGCTAGTTGTGTAGCTAGCTAGCTGCCTAGCTAGTTAGTTAGTTGTGTAGCTAGCCAGCTAGCTAGCTAGCTAGCTCTGTAGCTAGCTAGCTAGCTGGCTTGCTGGGGAGAAAGCCCCAGTCCTAGCTACAGCACCAATGGAGACAGCAGCAGCAGAAGAAGCAGCGGCAGCAGCAGCCTCCTGCTGCTGCTTCTGTTGCTGCAGCAGCTGCTGCTGCTGCTGTTTTTTATAGGGTGATGTATTTGTTCTGTCGATGCCTTCCACAGACACCGCAATTTATTTTTATTTTTATTTATTTTTATTTTTATTTTATTTTAATTTATTTTAGCTGTACACGAATGCATGCATATTTGCATGCAGCTGTTGCTTGTGGCTTTAGGCTCACTGCTGCTGCTGCTGCTGCTGCTGCTGCTGTTACTAACTGTGCTGCTGCGGGCTGTTGCTGCTGCTGCTACAGAATTTGCTGATGCAGGTTGCTGCTGC